TCAACAGGAGGGTCATGTTTGGGAGAGGGGGTCGTATTTTCCGAAAATTTTCTCCTAGCAGCAAGTGTGCACTGGTGAAAACAACACAAGCACAGGAGGGGTCGTATCAAACCAGCGGGGGGGGGCGGGCTCACGGACTTGACCAAAATTCCCACTTTATGATGTGCCTTGCTTCCAACTTGTTCGAATACCGTTCATGTTAGTGCGGCGCTCGGTTTCGATCATTATGGGTAACCTTGCGTCATGTCTAGCTTCAATCATTACGTGCTCCCTGAGAGTAGAATGGAGTCTTTCAATTTTCAGCCCTCTGTATGTACATCATATTCTGCTGCTCGATATTACTGGTTCCAATTTATGCGGTTATGTATATTTGTAGATGGAAAATCTACTTAGCATTGAACAAGAAAACATATTCTACGCAGACAAAGCTCAGTGTGAAGCAGCTTGTTCAGGTACGACAACCTTTACCTCGATATGAATGCATATGTATGGGTCTGCAGTGTTTGTCGTAGTGTAAAATACTTCATTAACCACCTCCTTATCTCAACTGAGCAAAGTCAGTTATGTTAAGCTCGCATGTGCTAATTATGGCTAGGTGGGTTAATACATAAAAGCAATTGGAGGAACTTCTGACTGATTGGAATGTATTGTGACTGAAATGTAAAAAGCTCAAGGCATAGAGGGCAGGGATTATAATCATTTTTAGCGCAGCCATACATTACAAAATCGCGGCGTTTAGTTTAAATCTCCTCCTGTTGGGAGACCAACGATGATGTGCCCTGATTGGAAGGATACTTGATGTAGAATATACCTGAAGAATGTAAGATATAATTATAACAGGATAGTACCCGATGTTTGATATAGAATGATGTGTGAGTATGTCGGCCTCTGTGACGTTATGAGATGTGTGTATGCCAATCGATGCCAGCTATAAGAACAACTATTATTTCACTTCGAGATTCAACTCAGCATTGGTACCAGACCCTCCACGACTCTAAGTCAAGCGAAAATCGAAGAAAAAAAAGATAATTCAATGGAACCGTGACTCCTGATTTTATGCCTTCCTTATTTCTGCGACCATTTTAGTCGTTGTATTCTCCACTCGTTTTTCGATCTATGATCGGTTCATGATCTTTGCGCATCAACGTTTCTTTCTGCAACTCAACAATGTTTCAGTCTCCTTTTAGCTAACAGGTGAGCTCCCACAAGCAGTCTTCGCGGTGGCGGTATAGAAGATGCATAGGCCCTCTCTATGGGAGAATTAGAAAGGCTGCAGTGAATTTGATAGAGGTCAACTGCGTAACCAAATATAGCCGTAGTGCCCTTTTATAAGCCACATCCCTTTGCAGTTATCAGCGTCTGCTTGTCAAAGTGCTTTTTCTTAAAGGAATGTTTAGTTAAGGGAAGACTGAAGGTACATTTCGTACTCGTATAGATACGATCCGTAAGCCCTATGTGCATAGAACGAACACCTTTTACAATTAGACAACATTGTTTCCGATGAAGAAAACGTGAAATGAGAATTCTGCGACACAAAAACAAGAAATTTTGCTGGAAGCAAATTCGGAAAGCGCTATGAACAATTGTTGAAATTAATGCAGTGGCTCAAAGGCAAACAAAGAAGCTTACCATCATTGAAGCAGGAATGACATACACTGCCAAGCACATTAGTAATACGGTTTTGGTTTTTACTTCGCTAACGATCAAAACAATACACCGATATAACATTGAAGTCATCCATAACAGAAATGCCTCTAGAGCAAGGTGTACTAAAAAGGAACGCTTCCAGTGAATATCTATGTATTTTTGTGGTTTCTCTGAGACCTACACATTGAGAAGAAGAGCACATGGCACACTTGGTGTCCAAGAAATTGGCATGGTCCGAGGTAGATCGCAACAAAGTGCAAGTTTCCAGCCAGGACCCTGAATAACAATTCGAAATAAGAGAGCAGATACCATATACATGACATGACGTGATCTTTTCAGCTTTTATGAAAGGAGAGGATCCTTTAGATTCCTTGCAAGATTTTGCGTGCGGTATTATCCTTCCCAACACCTACAAACGCATTTTCTCCCCTAATCTGATTGCATACTCTTTGTAACTCCGATTTTCGAAAGATTGTCAGGTCACGATCTCATATCGTGGGCCTTATGTACGGAATATAAGCGCAATTTCGGCGACCTATCGCATTCTTATTCCTGTCCGCTGGTTCTTTGCATAGTTCCTAGCTGTACTGCAGAGAGAGAACCCGAGTGTTTTTGAAAACTCCTCTACGATGGAATCCCATTAGTATTTGTTGTATTGGGCAGAAACCACTTTTGCCTTCGCGCCCATCCTTCTGGCACCAAAACACTTTTGTGTAATACAACCTTCTTGTAAGCTCCACTTCTGAACCATTGCGACTGAAGCATCGAGACTTCCAAATTCTTCGGAACAACGAGAAAATGATCCCCTATTGAGGAGCGTAAATATCGCCTTTCAGTAGTCCCTTCATCGCGAAAGCACATCGCTGGCGTCGCTCCACTGACAGTTTCTGGTACTGTGTCTTAGTGTATGTATCAGAACCGACACTCTGGCAAGCTTCGTCCTTGGAGAGGACAATGACGCTCCTTCCGGTGATATGGGACATGCTATAAATGGCCAGCGTAATAGGTAGCTGAAAGAAATTTGCTGACTGGAACATTCTTTGGAACGAATTTTCTCTCCCCCCCTCTTTTGAACGAATTTATTTTCGCTTGAACTGAATGTGAGCAGTTGCTTAAAATATGATGTAATGACATGAAAATATCAGCAGTATGCTCTGGGGTCCATTCCGGATCAGTTCTCGCTTGAAAAAAAACAGGCTTCACACCGGGGTTACCTATTCAAAACCATACTCGACTCGGAGACTTGAAGTACTCACTGTAAACATTGAAAAGCCCCTCAAGTTTGTCTATGCCACATCGCATTGAAGGCCTTTAATATATTAAATTGAAGTATAGTGCGTGCAGCATTCTAAAAAGTGATTCATCAGCAGTGGAAGCTTGATCCATTAGACCCCTAGAAAAGTTCGCGACCGCTTCTGGCTAGCCTTACAGTACTGAATTGTTCTTCAGCGCTAAAGGCGGCATGGTCTCCACTTCCTTCCACTCTTTTGCTCCCCTGCTGCATGTTCTCTCCGAAGTACGCAAACATCCTCCTATATATAATCCGCTAAGTTTTTCTGTGTGTGTGTGATGTGAAATGTAGAGTGTCTGTATGTGTGTTTTGAGCCGAAATTCATAACATTCCTCAAAACAGCGATCGTGCGCTCAAACTGATAAGGGATGTAGGAGATCGGGCAGGAACACTATTGGTAGGTGGCAGGAAGTGATAAGAGCTGATAAGATAACATAAGGAGCCTCAGAAGGGAAGGGCCACTAAATTCATAGCGCCGGCCACAGCAACGTCGGGACGTTGGTTCCAAGCAGTAAGATAGGGGCAGGATGGGAACATTAGTGATGGGTGGCAGGAAGTGATAAGAGCTGATAAGATAATAAGGAGCCTCAGAAGGGAAGGGCCACTAAATTCATAGCGCCGGCCACAGCAACGTCGGGACGTTGGTTCCAAGCAGTAAGATAGGGGCAGGATGGGAACATCAGTGGTGGGTGGCAGGAAGTGATAACAGATGATAACTGATAAGATAACATAAGGAGCCTCAGAAGAGAAGGGCCACCAAATTCATAGCGCCGGCCACAGCAACGTCGGGACGTTGGTTCCAAGCAGTAAGATAGGGGGCAGGATGGGAACATCAGTGATGGGTGGCAGGAAGTGATAAGAGCTGATAAGATAACATAAGGAGCCTCAGAAGGGAAGGGCCACTAAATTCATAGCGCCGGCCACAGCAACGTCGGGACGTTGGTTCCAAGCAGTAAGATAGGGGGCAGGATGGGAACATCAGTGGTGGGTGGCAGGAAGTGATAACAGATGATAAGATACCATAAGGAGTCTTAGAAGCGAAGGGTCATCAACTTGATAACGTGCTTCACAGCGACGCTAGGACTTCGGTTCCAAGGAGTAAGATAGTGGGCAAGATGGGAACATTATTGGTTGGTGGCAGGACGTGATAACAGCTGATAAGATAGCCCCCGGAAATTCGTAGCATAGTTGTAGCCACACTGGAGAATTGCCCCCAGCAAGTAAGGTAACAATAGTAGTGGGAGATAAGTTCAGGTCGTGTCCGACAAGGGCTTTTAGGAGTCCGTATATGGTCACATCACCTTGGCCAAAGAAACTGTGGGCAAAGGCTTAGTGAGCCAAGATGTTTCTATCCCTTAGCGATATAGTCGGAATTGATTCGACCGCTAAACTCTCGAGTTTCGACAAAAAGTAAAAGTCCCAAAAGCTGCTCAAGGTATGTACTAGGATGTGAGGACATTTCACTCTGCGTCTGTTATTACCCCCGAAAGTCTTTCAACCGCTGAGCCTTCCTATTTCCAACGAATGGCGAGTGTTGTCAAAAACGTGATAAGCTCCAGTCATGCAAGTTCATTAAAAGGGATGAACAGTCTGGATGAAATGGGGCCGTATTCCGAATCAAGGGGAAAGCTCCCAATGGGACCAAAATCTTCCTATTCACACTGCCGGTCCTCGTATAGTGCGAGCGCTTCCATAAACCCACTCCTTTCTGGATCACCATCCATTCCACTTCAAATTCAACATAGATGGCGATCTCTGCTTCGCTCAGCCGCATGCGCAGCTGCCCTACCTAACTGAATGGCAACGGCAACTCCCTATCGTGCAGCAAATCTTCTTCTGAAACGTGGAGGTCCTACAGGAGCCCATCCCTCCGTTGTTTTTGCCCACCTGTCTTCGATTCTTCTCAAGATATATATCTATATATCTACATCTATCTATCGCAGTTTTGCTTTCTGTATACTTCATAGGCGGAATAAACTGCGTAGGCTGGAGCTGCGGAGTCTAGCTCGATATTGCATGCACCTACTAAGTCTTAAACGACGTACCTTGAGCGCTGTGTGTGCCACACTTAGTACTCATGACGTGGGCTCCCGATTTATCTTATGTAGGCTTATACTTCCTTTATAAGTGTGCCATTAGTCCCGGAATCGTGACACTGCATGTCGTCCCATATCCCCGAACAGGCCCTGATTGCAATCAACTACTCCTCTCAGTGCTGGGATAAAAATGTAGTTGGTATCGTCAGTTTATCTACCGTGAGCTACGATATCGTTCTCATTTCTTTTCTTGGAGGGATTTGCTTAGATTTCCTCCTCTAGGGCAGATAGCGCCAAGATGTGATCACAATATTCGCGTATGGTAGACACCCTTCCCCGCCTATATAGATCGTGCGAGGCCGCTGCTGTCTTGCTGTAATTCGATTTCGATCTAGAGAGCTTTCTGAAGGAATGTAGAGTCGTGAGGAATTCGTGAGTGAATTGTAGAGACGTGAAGAATTCGTTTCACGTCCTTTTCATGCGGTTTTCAGCAGCT